AACATGCTAATTGCAGTAACTGACCTAAGTGTGAGCACACTTTTCATTTGATCTCTTGCAAAGCAAGACACAAACTCCTATTCAGTAGTTTCTACAAACCTGCAGCTTCTGTTTAATCTGCAGAACATTTTTTAGATTTATACCCAACCTTTTTTAAAAAGATCCATTTATGGATCCATTTATAAATTCTTTGTTTACAAAAAGTGCCTCCTATCTTCTACCTTTCATCACTTACATATTTGTACAGTACACTACATTGCCTAGTACAAGCAAATTATCTTTCAACTTTAGTGAGAGAAACTAAATACATTTTGAATCCCTCATTATTAATAAGATATTTCTGAGACCCTAAGCTACTCTTGTAGCTTTTTTGTCCCATTTTAGTTTCAGACCCTTCTCCAAATCAGAGGGATCATCTTCTCTAAGAACTTGGAAAACTGAGAAACCCAGTCCAGGACAACTGGAAACTCACTGTGTAATGAAAGGATTGGAGCTGTTTGAAAGAGCAAGCCTCAGACTACAACTGCTGTCATACTCTGTATATTATATATGTCTGATATATAATATACTCTGTATATTATATATGTCTTTGGAGTTCTGATAGTTACATCTAAATACGTCCTCCTCTCCTTTTAACTATGTGTTAGTGATAGCCTTAACGTAATTAAAATCAGAACCATGGCTGCAATTTTATTTATTACACACAAATGAAACAGAGCAGCTACACTTTGTAAAAAAAGTTCCAACACAGACAATTATGTCTAATATTGTCCACATTTCACAACAGTTTAAAAAAAGACAAGAGGAAACAAAAAAAAGAAACAGGTGGCAACATCCTAGTCTTTGTGCACTTAATGTTTAAAGTATTTTTTACAGACTACATGATAATTTTGTGGTGTAATGCCTGCAGCAGAGAGGACCAAAACAGAGTAAGTTCTAAACTCTCAACCATCAATTTGTAATCCATCTTCAGCCTCCTAATTAGCTGCATGGTATCTGCTGCGCAGGCCTCACAAGGCTCCATGCAACATAATACTCAAATAACATTCAAAAGGTAAAATTTTACAAATAAAGGTTACTGCTTGCTGAAAGGCTTTCTGCTCATTTCTAGAAAACCTGCATGTACACACCTTCCATGGGTGTTCTGGAAATTGAAATCTAGCACCATCATATCCTAGGGAGTATAAGGTACATAGGCAACTGGCAATTATATATAAAAAATAATGAAGCCTCTCTTACCTATCCTGGGTACTAAAAGCAATTAACAGGTATATATTGCTATATGGACTGCTTGGAAAATGACTCAGATAAAGCAACACCACCAAATACTATTTCCCAGAGAACACTCTGGCTAGGATTAGCAATTGCAAAATGTCAACAGAGGTATAATTAGCTTGATACAAGCACTGAAACAAAACTCTTTTAGGGTATTCATTCATGAGATTTCCAAACAGGTGGCAGAGAAGGAAGGTGATAAATAACATTCTACAGTACCTTGGCTCATCATCAAATGGTACTCCACACTGCATCTGAAAACAGCTTCAGCTTGTCCTCAAGAGCAAGTCTAATTTTCTTTGGTAATGCTAGGAGCCCACCATGCTCAGGGTTACATTGGAGAGTGAAACAGGATGTTCTGTGTGTTCAGGCCCAAAGATTCGCATGTGTCAGCAGTGGGTCACGCTGGACTTTTCCATGGGGCTATTCAAACCCTCATAGCTATCACCCTGCAAGCTGAGGTCATGCAGGCCTGACCTACCTTTGCTGACAAGCGGAAAACACGCTCCCATCGCCCTGATTTTATCACTGTTCCTATGTAAGAGCATAGGGAAAACCAGCAGATCTTGAGATGGAGGTGGGACAGCAGACTTCACTTTGTTAGACATCTTTCTTCCTTCTCTCAAAACCTGATCCACCACTACTACAATATTTACACAATGAATATTTCTAATAGTGCATATTAACATGCACAGTTTACAAAACCTCTTTGCATTCTAATTCATAGAACTATTTCCTTTATATTTACCCCTAAACAGTTTTGGTTTATTATAAATTTGGCTTAATTTCCTTTTGACTCCTTTGAAAGCTTAAAAATGACTCTACATAATAGTGCTCCTTCAAATTTTCTATGATGACAGCCCAGAGTTCATTGTAATGAAGGAAATAAATTACTACACTAAAAAAGGATTAGGATGCTTGACTCACTGTTGTGATTGCTACAGACAGAGTTCATGGATAACTCAGTGTTTGCTGTGCTTCACAAGGCAAAATGATGGAGGCTGGAAACAAACACTGACTGTGAATTGATGAGTTCCTACACTTTAACCTAGACACTACTTCCAGATACTCGGGCATTTCCTATATGCTACATCCACAAGCACTAACCACAATTTTCACTAATTGTTAAACACTCCTGCAGTGTCCTCCAGGAACTGAGTTCCAGACCTCAACAAAACCTGCAATAACAAAAAATAAACAATCTCTGGCTTAAAAGCAAGTAATGAAAATGAAACATCCCTGTTGCTTTATGCTAAAATCTTTCTGTCTTTGTAGGAATTAACTGTAACAGACTATAGAGGGCAGAACCTATTGCTCCTGAAATTTTATGTTCAGCGTTTTGGGGGAAAATACACCGATATTTAGCTTGTGCAAAGCAGAACCCACAAATTCCAAATAAAATTAAAATTACGTTGTGCTAGACTTTGGAGTTAGGATAGCAAAAATGAAAGATCACCCATTTACAGGACAGACTAAAGTGCACAGTGATTTCCTTAGAGACATAAAGGAAACGTGAGGCTGAACCAAGAGTTCAGTTCAGATCTCTGAGTTGCAGCCCAGAGCGTAACTTCAGATAATGATTCATCAGCTGTTATTTGTTTTAAATTAACTTGCTATTTTTATTCTATCTAAGGATAAAAGAGATATTTTTCTTAGTAGTATTTATTTTTGAAAGGTCTGTAATATTCTGTCACTGAAAAACCTGTAACAGAGCTGCACTTTTAATTTTAAAACTGTAAAAGTTATGATAAAAAAGATGAGGTAGCATTCAAGGCATCATCTGGATTTGAATACATTAATTTCAAGACAGGAACAGCTGACATTCATGCAGTGGAGGCCAATACAGTTTCTTCACAAGCATATGATGCTAGCAGTAGTACTTTGTCTACAAAGCAAGAAACCAATCTCCCCCACAGAGCTCCCCGATAAAAAGACAAAAAACGCCAAATGAAGATGTTAAATCATTCTGTGGAGAAGTGAGAATATTTTTAAAGCCTAGAAAGTGTTTCAGGAGCACATACAGCACAGAAAATAAAAATTTCTATGGGAAAAATTCTATTAGTTTCTAACTATCACATAAAGAATTAAAATACACGCTTGAAATCCTCCGCTCAGTCTTGTTTAACCATGTTTTAAAATGTTGTTGTGCACAGGCTTGCCAGAGTCTATTGCTGCTTTCTGAAGCAACTTCTTGTTCAACTGCAACTCTCCCTATTTTTTCCCCACATTTTCGCGGTAACAAAATTGATATCCTCCTGCCATCTAGTGGCTAAAAATCCCCCAACCCAAACACCACCTGCAGACGTTAACGCAAAACTTCCTTCTTCCTACTCTTGTTACTTGTTTTCCTATTGAGCTTATATATTTTAAGCAATAATAAGTGAAATACAGTGGAAAACTTCATTGAAAGTACTGCACAGCTGGTAAAAACTGAGTTGTTAAACCAAGAGATCATAAAATTGTAGTTAATCTAAAGCTTTCTAGATATCTTATTTTGCACAGCCAAATTACCTGAAACATTTGTTATAGAAAAGAGTGATAGAAATGCTGATTATTGCCTTTCCCTTAGGAATGATCAATCTTGCATTGCACAACTTAATAATAGTATTAGCATATCACCTCTTAAAAAGAAGACCAATTTAGATATTAAAATGTAAATTTTATAAAGTTTAAAAGAAACATTTGAAAAATGCTTGGCAAGATTTAGAAACAAATGTTACACTGTCTATTTTGCATGATGTGATTCTGCTAGAATTAATAATACACACACACATCACAAAATATATTTGGGGAATAATAAAATGAGATGGAGAAAGTAAAGTGTTTTTCTTAACAGCACATCAAGTCTTCTAAAACTAAAGCATCTTCACTTCTCTCACAGATCTGTTACCCTCATTAGACTAATATAATAAGCAGCAAATATAAAATTATATTCTCTGTGTAGTTTCTCTGAATTATACTGTTCACTTGGATGTGAATGTCCAACAGTAAAAATAAAAAATCAAAACCTCTATGTCTTTATAATAAACGCCTCTAATAAAATCTCTCTAAATCCATGAAGTTCACAATGTGAAGTAGCCATTTGCTGGCATTCAATAGTATTTGTAAATTTTACATGTTCATATCTCACCTTCTGCATTTTCAATCACATTTATCTAGAGTTTTCAGGAGCACAGACAAGCAGTACACAGTTCTTGCTTCCTATAGATTTAATGAAAGTAAGCTTCTGCTTCAGTGACACTTCTATGTTTTAGAATGAAAGGCTTTTAATCTATTTGGTAATGGGTTACACCTCTAGACTCAGTGAGGCTTCTTTGTGCTACAACCTAGGTGGCACATCCAGGCTTTAAACTAACTTAAATAGTCAGCAGGGGATTCCATTAGCTGAGCTGAATGCAGTAAAATAGATAATTAATGGCATATTTAATTCCCAGCTCCACCAAAGGGCAATGTTTAAGATGAGAGACTGTAATTGATGCTAAATGAACTTAGTGGTCTCTTGACTACCAAATAAATGGGAGATACTATAGGTCTCCCTATAAGGAGATACTATAGAGAGATGCTTTAAGGTACACTCAGATACATCAAATCTATACAACATAAACCATCTCCCTATCCAGACCATCTACGACATTGTGGACATAGCAAACTGAACACCAAAATCCCCTTAGAAGGGTAGTATGACAGTTGATACAATAATAACAGGAATAAAAGTAGTAACTTACTTTCCAATAAGTGAGAATCTGCTACTTCTGTCTGGCTTTGCATCAACTACATCATCGCGATCTTCATCACTGTTCTCTTGAGTGGAGTGATCAACATGCTGATCTCCTGACATCTGCAAATAAAAGTACAAGAAGGTAAGTGTCCCTCAATAAACACTGTCATTTTACAAATCCTTCTATAAACCAAACTGTTACACCAGACGTGAAGTTGTTCAATCATAGAATCATAGAATGGTTTGGGTTGGAAGGGACATTAAAGATCATCATAGTCCCAACTTCCCTGCCATAAGCCAGGACACCTTCCACTAGACCAGGTTGCTCAAAGCCTCATCCAACCTGGCCTTAAACACTTCCAGGGAGGAGCATTCACAGCTTCTCTGGGCAACCTGGGCCAGTGTCTCACCACCCTCACAGGAAAGAATTTCCTCCTAATATCTCATCTAAACCCACCCTCTTTCAGCTTAAACCCATTTCCCCTTGTTCTGTCACTCCCTGCCCTTATGAAAAGTCCTTCCCCAGCTTTCTTGTAGGCCCTTCAGGTACTGGGAGGCCGCTATAAGATCTCCCCAGAGCCTTCTCTTTTTCAGGCTGAACAGCCCCAACTCTCTCAGCCTGTCCTCATAGGAGAGGTGCTCCAGCCTTCTGATCATCCTCGTGGCCTCCTCTGGACTCGTTCTAACTGGTCCAGGTCTTTCTTGTGTTGGGGGCTCCAGAACTGGACGAAGTACTCCAGGTAGTCAGTTGTACTATATAATTCTTCTTCAATTAAGAGTGGCCATACATTTCTGGCCCTGAATTAACATGACATTGCACACGTTCAGCCGTCTGCATTATCTTGTGGCAGTTACCAAAAGCGACTTGTCTAATATCGCTCTCAAAAACACAGATAAGAACAAAAGTAAAAATCATTTTATGGTGAAAGATCTTACAACTGATTCTCAGAAATTTTTTCATGGTCTGGAAAGAAGTATGGTGGGAAGAAAGCAAGGACAACTAACATAAAAGTATTTGTAACTGCACTCCTGTCCAGCACTAAGACATGCAGAGAGCTCCTGTGTTTTTATTTGCATATACATGGTCAAATGTGCATAAGAGAAAAAATGCTGTATTATCTTCCATGGATGGGATCTTAGGTTTTAATTTCTCTGTTTTGTCTATAGCAATACTTAATATGAATTTTATATTCTTCTCATTATTAATTAATACTTGTATACAGTTGTTAGGGGAAAAAAAAACAGTTGTGAAATATTTCATGGAAATTAAAAGGTAGTTTCATTACATAAAGCAGCCTCTTACACAAACTGCTGTATTTCTGCCAGGTTTTTTTTGTTACTCCAGTGGAAGCTTGGAACACCTCTCATCCCAAAAGCGACACAGGGCACTGCTGAACAGCAAGGCTGAGCTGATCTAATGACTTTTTCCTGATGAAAACATGGTCTCTCTCTCCTTTTCTTACATGTACTGAGTTGTCTGCTCAGGAAGTTTATTGAGATCATTAAGCTGGCAGAAAAACTACAAGAAAGGAGTAATTTTTCTGATAGCACAATGATCTGCACGAGGCCAGGGCGGGGTAAGAGCCGTGGAGAAGGCAGTGTGGTGGGATGTGCTGAGCCACCTCGTCCAACTCTGGCTCCAGGTTTTCACGAGGAAAAGCAACAGCAATTCCTGTCCCTTCCTCATATTTAAGCAGATTAAACTTGCTTTTATGACACATTTCCTCAGAAGAGTACACGTCTACACCTAGCTTGAAAACCACCCTGTTGCACCACCCCAGCCAGGGCCTGTGACACTGACCGAGGTTTTGGAGCTCCCTGAGAGTAAAAGCAGTTCGCAAAAGCTGGGGTCTAGCTTCGGCTTTGACAAACAAATACATTTTTTAGTCAGCTTTTAAAAAAACAAGACTCGAGGAGCGCGCAGGCCGCGGTGGGCAGCGAGGCGGCCAAGGAGGAGCGCGGGGCCTGCAGCCCCGAGCAGAGGAAACCAGCACCGCCACCGCGCCCCATTACAGCCCCCGCAAACCCACTGCCAG